TCCCCTAATTAAATCCAAAATTCGGAATTACCAAAAATGGGTCCAAGGGCATTTTGGTAATTTTTCGGTCCCGGGTCAAAATTTCAATTTTCGCACACACGCGTTCCATATGTGCGTGGCCAACATAATATGGTGTCGGAATCGCGAAATTCACTTTTTAAGTCCTCGAAAACTGACTGCAAGGTTTCGGGAATAAAATAATATTATTTTTCCAATTTTTGTCGATATTCCACTTTTTGGCCAAAACCACTCTAAATGTGCGTGGCCACCCCAAAATGACATTGGCCGCGAAAAATAACCTCAAACGGCCTCCGAATCCGGCCTCGGTGCCCACAGGGGCAAAACCGTAATTTCTCACCCCCGGACCGAAATTCCAATTTTCACTTGTACTAACCCCAAACGTGTGTAGTCAGCGTAATATGACGTCAGATTCCCAAAAATAGTCTCTTAAGCCTTCGAAAATCGACCTCGAAATCCGGGCTCAATTCCGTAAACAAAACTCGCGAAACTTTCAATTTCAGGGTTTCTCACTAACGGGCGGCTGTTTAGGAGTTACGCGTATCGACCTAGGGCTATCCATATCGTAATGGTCTCGATCATTGAGAGAATGAGAAATTATCATTAGTTTCAGAGGTCACGATCGCTCGGTTCAAGTTCAAGACTGGTTGGCCACGTGTACTTTCGGTCTTGCAGAATCACCTGCGATCCGATGGTACATCATTGGCCTTGGCCAAACCAGACCCATTACCTTTCCTATGATCGGTCCATACTGGTTCATAATATTCTCTCGTCATTTCTCGAGATCGTTGCCCAATTCACGATCGGGTCCCTGGTCCACGTACCATTTTCCTAGTTAGCCATACCCTATTGGTTAGTATCCTGAGAGTGATCAGCTCTGGGCGAGACTTACTAAAATGAAATGCGAAATATGGTCAATTTATTGATCTCGGAATTACATTGAAATTCAGGCTGTTATAGAATCACTAATTAATCTTTTTTTTTTGGGTCTGTGAATCACTAATTAATCTAAAATGTGATTTATTAACCATGCCCTAATTATGAATTTAAAATGTAATTCTAGCATGTCAACCACGCATTCAAACCAAGCGCGTATATTATTCAGATATGATATGTAAATTCGTAAATGGAATTGCATGCTAACATTAAATGAAATACGATAACAAATCTAATATACGAAAATGCGACAGACTTCTATTTATATGGAAATCAAATAAGATGCAAATTCTATGACCTAAATCAGCCCCTTGCCCGCCGTCCAGCTTGTGCTGCCGTGCTGCAATCTCTTTTCTGCGGGTTGTCCGACAACTTCCAGCACACCGACGAAGCTTTTGCCACGCTTCCGTCCGACGCCTCTAAGATGAAAATTGTATGACCTAAATCAGCCCCTTGCCCGCCATCCAGCTTGTGCTGCCGTGCTACAATCTCTTTTCTGCGGGTTGTCCGACAACCTCCAGCACACCGACGAAGCTTTTGCCACGCTTCCGTTCGACACCTCGCAAGCCAATCTGTCCACCACCATCACAACCAGCGAGCACCTGCAGTTCTAGTGTTCCTCCGTTGTCCCGGCAGTTTTCCAGAGTAAACCAGCAACGCTCCATCGGCGCCGTTCAGTCCATCGTTCATAATCAGTTATTATAGCTCGCTGACAGGCCACCCATCGCTTCACCGTTGTTCTTGAGCTATATTAGCGTGAGCGTGTCCCTTCCTTGTCGAGCCCTTTTGAAATCCTTGGTGTTTCTTAGTGGTGGGTGATAAACAATATTTTAGGCTCCATTCGTTTCGCGGAAAATATGACATTTCTAGAAGTTCATTTTCTAGGAAAATGACAATATCTTATGGTGTTTGGCTGAAGCCTGAAAATGAAATAGAAAATATTTTTCACTATTTGGTAGGAAAAATATTAAAATTACCAATAATTCAAATTTTTTTGTTATTATTCTTTTTTCTTTTTCTTTCTTTTCCGCTTTTTCTTTTTTAATTTTTAATTATCAAAGCTCACTAATCTGCGAGGCTCGCGCCTCGCCTGTGGCCGATCATCGGCTATCGCCGTGGCCGGCCATTGGCCGAGGGAGAAGGAAAAAGAAAAAGAAAGAAAAGAAAAAAAGGAAAGAAAAAAAAAAGAAAAGAGAAAAAAGGAAAGGAAAAAAATGAAAAATAATTCAAAATTCAAATAAAAAAATACAAATTTATTTTTAATCATTTTTATAAGAATGAACATTTCATTAATCACGGACCCGAGCACTGTGGACCCGCGCACAGCCTTTGTGGACCAAAGCTCGAGCATTGGGGACCCGAGCACGACCTTTATGGGCCTGGACTCGGGTGCCGGGGATTTAGGCACGGGCACCAGGGGTTCGACCCCGGCCTCAATGGACCCCGGTGTAGGCGTTGGGGGTTTGGGCTCGGCCTCAATGGACCCAGGCCCGGCCGCCGGAGACTTGGTCCTAAACACCAGGACATTGGAGCCAACATTAGGGTTTTGTACAGGTTCTCCTATTTTGCTGCAAGGCGTACTAGGCTTCCTAACCTTTAGGCACTAAGGTTAGACCTTAATATCGCTTTGCATGGCTTGTTATGATTGATGTGATTAAATTGAAATTTGATTGCTTTAGAATAATACGTTATTAATGAAATGATGGATTTTAAATAACGTGTGTTTCATTGCATCATAATATTATCAATCGCCATTGAACGTCACTTATCATGCATATTTAGAATTTAGAGTGCATTCATAATTTACACTTTAGGGTTCTCATATTTAGAGTCATGCATGATTAGTCTCGTAATGCATATAGGTTTAGAACATGTTATTTTTAAAACGCATATAGATATAGGATAATACATTGTTTTAAAAAAATAAAAATAAAAATGATATTTAGGTTTCATATAGATCACGTGTAGACTTAGGGTCATTTAGTTTCGTATCATATAATATGCGTCACTTACAATAATCATATCCCATGAATAGTCTTAGCTATTAACCTTTTGCATTTAGGTTAGCCGCATTATATAGCTCATATAGAAAAAATAGGAGTTAGCATTGCATCATGAAATAGTTAGTCACATAGCTAGGTCATTCGAGTCCTAGCATTTAAATTTATCATTTTCATAAAAAAATAGCACTTCCTATGGTTTGCATCATAGCATTAGTTCATAGTTAGTTAACTTAAGATTGATACATTAAAACATCTCATCTTGCATATAGAATAGAAAGTGCATGCTCATTTAATTTATAGACTTTAGGGTCATTTTTCTTTCCAAGAAAAGAACAAAAAATATGAATTAGAGAGTTTCATATAGATTGCATATTAGCTCGTCATTATTTCATGCACAATCATGCACAAGATTCATGCATTCTATCTGCATATTTCTTTGAGTAATAGTTTGCAGAAATCTCGTGGTAATGGATAGCGATATGCTTTGCTTTGGCTTAGTGCATCCAGGTTCCTTGAATTTTTTGCAATCTTATTTATTGCTTCAATTTTGGGTGTTATTTTCCTAGTTGCGTACCCGCATGATCATCCTTCACATGTTAATGGTATATGATAAAAAAAGTTGATAAAGATTGCATGCAAAACATTTTCGAAATAATGAAAAAGGTACTGTAATGACGTTACATTAATCTAGCATAATCAAGTTCTCAAATCCATTGAATCTTTGGTTTGCAGAAGTAAACTGCATTTCCACATTTTACTTAGGTGTCTAATTGACCTATAATTAATTAGTGGCGACTCCAAAGGTAAGATTAATTACTTATCATATTGAGTACCAAGTTGCGATTGGTAGGGCTCGAAAGAGTTTGTGCTAAGCACTATGCTTAGCAATCCATTAGTTTTTTTTTAGTGATTCACTATTGGGAAGGTTGCAACAAGGAGAAGTAGGGTTTAGTGCTTGCTATCACCATTGGTAGAGAAGAGATTTGACAAAAGAAGAGAATTCACAAACGAATATCAACCACTAGAGTATAACGTAAATTGAGTGACCACTCAAAGGAAACTAAGAAATATCTGAGCTTAGAATTCTATTATGAAGGTTTCTACAAGACAGTGCCTGCTTTCGAAATAGAAGACGCTGCTTCGTATTGATGTCCGTGTTCATAGACCTCCATGCCTAGGGGTGAGTAGTTTTAGGTTTTGTACAGGTTCCAACTAGAACCTAGAACCTTCTCGTTGGAATAACCTGCTCTACATATCCTGGAATCATATTGTCATACGTTCCAAGGTCAATTCCAAGACTTACCCAGGTGCCACCTATATTATTAATTGAACGATTACAGTGAATCATCACTTTTTATGATCATCACTTGCTGTTATAATCTACTGACCATAACTTATATTTAGACACACAAATAATATGAAACATTAATAAAGTAAAAGTTTAAGTCATAAAATGGAAGCTCAGACTAGTGGTTCCAGATTATACACTTATCATCGGATGTCATGGAATACCGCAAGATCGCGCGAAGACATAGACCAAGAAAATACAAAAAACTTGTTCCAAGTTTCAGATTCTAGGTGGAACCTATCAGTTGAAACATGTTCCCAAGTATTTTGAACCTAGAACCTACCCGCATACCTTGGAATCTGGAATTAGACAGGTTTCCACCGATCGAATTCTCCGGTTCTAGGTTCTACCTTGGAACCATACTCGCCCCTATCCACGGCGGTATTTCCAGTCAACTTATACTGGAACCACAAATTGTGATCGACATATCAAGCGATTAGTCTACAAGAACCGAAAAGATCTTCAATTTCATGTCAACTTCTTCAATTTGTTCCCGTCTTCTGTCGGTTCAGATACATCATCGATGTGCACAAAACACACTGAAGAAAATGGTAACCTAAATCACTGCCGATAAATTTCCTCAATAAGAAGCCGGATGAAGCAGAGAAACTGATAAATAAATAAAAACAGAGAGCTTGACAACTAAATGCTTCGAAGTTTAGCAACCAACCTATGAATCACCTATCAACCAACCCAAATACGTTTCTCTACACACCACCATCAGTAACCTTATCTTGTCCTTCATGGCTCAAATTTCCCACGTTTGGTGAATCATCTTTCTGGCAAGAATAGCCGAAAATTTCCTCCATGAAGAGCTGCATATTCTCATCGGATGATCCACCTGCTGCCACCGCCTGCCGAGCCTTGGCCTTTAGTGCCATCGCGTTTTTTCTCAATTGCTCAGCCACTGGTCCAATCATGACATCTTCAATGCATTTCTCAATCACTTCACTGCTTATGTTTCCATCAACCTCCTTCTTGATCCTCACGCCAATCTTAAAGACATCGGCAATAAGCTTTGCGTTGGCCGGCTGGTCTGTCCACTGTGGGTAAGCTATGAGAGGGATGCCCGCACATATAGTCTCAAGCAGAGAATTCCATCCACAGTGAGTGATGAAACATGCGATAGCCGGGTGCGACAAAACCTTAGTTTGAGGAGACCAACCCACGACTTGACCTTGGTCTTTTGTTTCTTCGAGAAAGCCTAATGGAAGTTGCCCCACGCCATCGGACTTTGGGAACTCAGTTGGCTTCACCACCCAAAGAAACGGGCGCTTGGCATTCTTTAAAGCTGTGGCTATGGCTTCCATTTGCTTAGCCGGTAACACAACGATGCTCCCAAAGGATAAATAGATAACTGAGCAAGGAGGTTGTTCGTTCAACCATTCCATGCAAGTCTCATCTGATTTCCACATACCCACACTTGCAACGTCAAGCTTTTGATCTTGGCCTAGCAACGTTGGAGGGACTAGTGGACCAATCACCCTTATTGGAAAAAGCTCGCACATGGAGTCTATTGCGTGTTTCTCAAGCTCATAGAAAGAATTTCCTAAAACCCACTTGAATTTCTCCATGCCTTGGAATAGTTGAGATAATAACTTCGAGAAGCTACCGAATGGGTTGTTGGGAAGCACAAAGGATGGCAAGTCCTCCATCTCCATGGAAGGTAAACCCGGTAGTTCCACAACAATACCAGGGTCCGTCAGGGTTGGGAAGGCGCTGAGCTTATTGAAGAAGCGATAGTATATTGCGTACAACGCGCACGGTTGAATCCACAACATAGCACAAGGGATGTCGTACTCGGTGGCTACATCGGACACCCATGGCACAAAAGGATTCGTGATTAGGCATAAGAGCTTCTTTGGACTCGTGTAATGTTCTTTGATTAGAGTCGACAGATTGCTAGGTCCATGTTTACCTAGGCTGTCCATGTAGACGTTGAGGTTAGACACCCGGTCGTAGTCGAGGCTCAGGCCATCAGAGTAGCACAGGAGCTTGATGCCGGAGACAAGGTCAGTGGCACTGGCACCAGAGGACTTAAGAATGCGGTAGTAGGTGACCTCGGTGGTGGCAAGGGCGACATGAATGCCTTTGGCAGCGAGACGCTTGCCAAGCCTTACCATTGGGTTGACATTGCCTTGAGCGGAGGAGGCCACCAAAAGGACATGGTTCTCTTCTTGCTTCTCCGCTGCCTGAGCCATGAACAACAACCGCCGCGTACCCGCCTGCCGACGCACACACGTACAAGTGGAAAAAGGAGAGAGAGAGAGAGAGAGAGAGAGAGAGAGAGAGAGAGAGAGAGAGAGGGTTCTAAAGAAGGAGAATATGGAGGAAGATTTGATGGGTAACTGGCACTAATTTCTTTTGGAGGTTAGACATTGTGATGAGCGCATGTGTTTGTGTATATATAAGCGGAATGCTGGTAAAAAACCACCGTAGGCAGTGGCGCAAAGTGATGAGCACGTGCTTGTGTACACATGATGTTTGTATGCTAATGGCGAAACCTTTACCCAAGAGAGTATCACACGGGGCAGGTCTAACCCTAGTTTCGTTTTGGAAGAGATTGTGATGAGCACGTGGTTTTGTATACACAAGTGGAAAGTTTGCAAAAACCACCGTGGGCAATGGCGCAAAGTGATGAGCACGTGCTTGTGTGCACATGGATTTTGTATGCTTATGGGGAGGCGCTTCACCCAAGAGAATATCACAACGTGACAGATTGATTTGGAGATGGTAATCAAAGGACAGCGAATTACGTTGTAGAATTGGTTGGGAATGATCTTACCACAAATTGGTTGGAAAATGGCTTATTACATGCGATTTGAGTGACAGGCCATGCTATAATTAATTGGAGAGTGTTGAAATAGGTTTCGGCTTTGAGCCCGGGAACAAATCGGATCCAAAAGTATTTGTGAAGTCCGACTCGTATTTTTTGGGATACCCAAATGTGGAGTCAATTAGGAGAGTCCCATTTGGAATTTGGTTGCTGAGTTGAGTAAGTTTGAAAGCTTCTTGACTAAAATTTGGTGGACGTTCGACCTTGGAAAGAAGAACACCGACGTTCCTTTTTCGTGTTGGGGTATAATTCTAATTTCCATTGTATCGTTTAGTCCATGGTGCAATCATGTGTTGCTCTCCCTATGAAGTAGGTCCCACTCATCGAATCACGTAAATTCGATATAGGGTTTATTTTCTTTTTCGATCGATTGTTTTCGCAACAGGGTATTTGTGATGTGTATGCGTACAAAGAAATTGATTTGTTTAAATATGAATGCACTGGAATAAGTGATATCTAAAGATAGGAGACATCAGCTGGATATTGGCGCATTGGAAAAGTTTTGTTATATGTGATCTTGATTGCGTTCTCAAGAAGTTTTTATGTTTTGCAGAAATTCGAAATCAGTAAAAAGTTGTGATCAAACAATATCGATTTTCCTTTTAATAGGCATCAACTTTTCATATAAATATATATTTTTTTAATGGGGTAAGTGCATTAGAAGTCTTAAAACTAATCATGAAAGTGCAATTGAGTTCTAAAATTTTCAAAAAGTTCAATCCAGTCCAAAAACTTGTAACGAAAGTAAAATCGAGTCCAAAAACTTTCAAAATGTGCAATCAATGGAAGGACTTGATTGGATCAATTTTGCAAGTTTTAGGACTTGATTACACTTTTTGTAAGTTCTAGTACTCAATTGCATTTTTTTCAATAAATTTTAAGACTTAATTGCACTTTTAAAAAGTTTTAGAACACAATTACACTCTCATGACAAGTTTTAAGACTTCTAGTGCACTTATTCCTTTTTTAATAATTAAATGTTAATAAACCAATTATATGCAATTTTTGTTTTTTGGTCAAACAAATGTACATAGTTGATGATTAACAAAAGGGATAAGTGCACTAGAACTTTCAAAACTTATCACGAAAGTGCAATTGAGTCCTAAAACTTGTCACAAAAGTACAATTGAGTCTTGAAACTTTCAATAAGTGCAATTGAGTCATAAAACACGTCACAAAAGTACAATTGAGTCCTAAAACTTTCAAAAAGTTGAATTGAGTCTTAAAACTTATCAAGTTAGTGCAATCAAGTCCCAAAACTTGTTGGAATTTCCATTTGTCAAGTTGGACGGAGTTACTGGAAGAAGTTGATTTCATCAACTTGACAATTTTTAAAATTTAGTTGCATTTTTTGAAAATTTTAGGACTCGATTATACTTTCGTGATAAGTTTTAAGACTTCTAGTATATTTATCCCTAAACAAAATAAGCTTTTGCACATGGGCCGTGTGATGAGAACTCATTTGCATGAGGAAATTTGGAGGCTTGCAAGGTCTATGCCCCACATATTAGATCATGGCCATCTGTGAGACCGCCTTCGTCCGCAGCCAGCGAGGCTGGCCTCACCCAAATCTTGGTAAGGTTGGGCGAGACCCGACCTTCACCCAAATCTGGGTTAGGCCAGCGAGGGCCCAACGACCCATGCTAGCCATAGTAAAAAACAAAAGAATAAAGAGGGAAAAGAGAAGAAAAGGAAAAAAGGAAAAAATATATTAAAAATAACAAAAAATTCGAAAAATATTATTAAAAATTATTTATGCCATTGTCTGCCATGCCATGTAGGACGATTGGCATCCACTTAGCGATTTTCAGCCAAAACTAATCAGATTGACTCAATTGACAAAATTGAAAGACTTAGTACTGAATTAACAAAATTATAATAGGTTTAGGATCCACATTACTAATAGTCGTCATGGACCAGGTCCATATGAATATGTATCTAGACAAGAATCTCACTAGGAAGCTAGGCCAGACAAGGGATTGGACTAAGCACTGTGAGGGTCGCACCCATCGAAAAATGGCCTGGGAGCCCAAGTCCAGTACCCATATACCGGCGTCAGTCCTTTGGATCTCGAGATATTGAAAAATGGTTCCGAAGTCATTTGAAAATTCCAATTAAACACAAACAAGATTCAACTCCTCTCTTGAAAAATAACTTTCTCGGGAAGTGCTTTCTAGAGACTCAAATGTTTGCCAACCAAAGGGGACTTTAGCATGTAATATTGGTCTAAAGAAGATTTGCTACTTTCAAGTCGTACTGCTCAACTGACGGCAATAACATGTACAACCGCAACTGCTACTGAGCAGGGGAATCGACGAGCAAGGTCAGAGGAAGCACTAGATGTTCCCATCGAAGGCCTCACGCGTACGGATGAAAAAACCGACATTTCCCGTTGAAGGACTGATGCCTCCTCCTCTTCCGTTTTGATAATTAGTTCATCATAAAATCTAGTTGGAACTGGCTTTTGAGATTGATCATAGCATGACCATGTATGTCGATTACAGCTGCTTGTCTTTCCTGAGGATTTGCGTGGCTTCCATTGATTGTAAAGTCGAACCTCAAAGCCGTTGACCGGCAAGTACGAATATATCGTGGGGGTCAAATCATGGGAAAATCGGCTGGTGTGGAGATTCCAAACCCTATTGAAAGTGCTGGATATACAAATGTTTGATTGATGCCAAGTGATTCATGGGTCTCTCTCTCTCTCCCAAGGATATCTGTCCTAAAAAATAATTTGATATGACTAAGAAAATGGGCCATCTGTCGCATACTAGGATTGTGAATTCATACACCTGTTATGGACAAACATTTTCATAAATTTTTTATAATTATTTCATGTGAAATTAAAATGTGATATCTTAAAATCTGCTAGCCCGATCGGAACAAATTGGGTATTGTTGGAAACTCTTTGGTGAGGATGACCCAAGTGTGTCCTTTGATCAAGCTTTTTAACGATGTAATATTTTTGGTCGATTTTAGTCAAGCTCTAGATAATAAAATGAGGTGTCTAAAATTTCTTTTGCTAATTTGGATCTTTACTCAGAGTTCAATCAATTCCTTAGTGGAACATGAAGTGTAGCTGCATCATAGTCAATCTCTCTCTCTCTCTCTCTCTCTCTCAGCTATGGTGTTCCTGTTGACGGTAGCTAATAGCTATTGAATTCGTCGGAGGCGGGACGTGGGGTGGTGGAGAGAGAGAGAGAGATGCCACCGGGTATGCCTAATTGTTCATAAATTGTGAGGATATTAAGTTAGGATCAAAGTCTATTCATAGGTAATTCAATTAGGGTTTCTTATATCCCTACTAATGTCTCAATACATTAAAACACAACTAAACCTAGAATGCAAAATCTAAACGTCTACAGTAGAGGAGGACCACCACAACCCAAGAAGGCAATAGGCCGCATGAGAAAGAAGCACCAACGGATGTCGAACAGATGTTCCCGACCAAAACATCCACCTGCGGAAAATTAGTTCGTTGAAAGGCGGTTCCTCATTTCGCAATCCATCGCACGCAAAGGAGAGTCAAACCTTAAAAGCTGCTGTTGACGGCGTAGCAGGAATGTCGTGTTTGGTCAAATCATTGGAAAATTAGCTGGTGCCGAGGAAGGGATTATGCCTTGTAGCTCTCCATAATCTTTTCCACCTCCAGAATCTAATGTACCAACTTTGTTAGATGCGCACCATTCAAAAAGAGTGACACTGTTTGTTTGGCTTTGATGGCCTTTGTTATTGATATGTCTCTTGGAAATATGATTTCTCGATAGCGAGTCTCGGATTAACTTTTAGACGGAATTTATCGCGATCTTGTTCTAGAGATTCGTCGATGAAAATGATGGATGGCAATTCTGATTCGTTACGTAATAGCGTTGTGATTTAATACACCAAACATGAAAATGAAAGAAAACATACTTTCCAAATTCAATATCATGAGAAAGGATACTATAGATATCACAACTTTTTCGCAGTGCCTACTTTAGTGTCATAATTTTTTAATTGATCACTCGAAAGCCATTAATTGGAACAAAAAAAAAGTTTTGGTGCTATAATTTTTCAATTGATCGTTCGAGTGCTCTAACTTTTAAAAAAAAGCGTTCACCATAAGTGATATAAAATTTACCATTACGTCAGATGTTTCGGCACTCGAATGAATTATCGAAAAGTCATGGTATCCAAGTGAACGCCATACTTATGAATATTATGACAATCGTGCCGGTCCCTTTTCGCAGCAATACCGTAACTTTAGAAGACTTATTTTAGCCTATAAAAACAGTAATGCGAAAGCATTTAAGAAAATTCGTTCGGTCATTGATGGCATTGATTGATAGGAAAATTTAACCAGAACAATTAAAATAAAAATAATTTAAGAGAGTTTGACAGAAAGATGGGTTTTGCGGTGCACGGGATCCTATAGTTCCTTTTCGTTTTTCTGGACCATATAAGGATGGAATATTCCACACTTTAAAAGTTTTGTATTTTTCCTCTTAAATAATATGCCAAGACCCACCAAACGGCTAGCGACTCTTGTGCACACATCTGTCTGTCAGAGCTTTTCGATGTCTCGGCCAGAAGTATAGATGATGGAGCAATCCGAGCTTCTTTTCTTCTTCTTTTGGTTTTGGAGCCTATCGTTCTTTCAAAGAAAATCGCATTGTGCCTTGTTCATTTGGAAAATCCAAGTTCGGAAAAGAATTGTACATGCAAATAATTTGTAGATTATATCTACAATAAACCATAGAGAAAACTATTCACGTATAGTTAATTGGGACGTCGAGAGATTATTAGTTCATGAACTGGCGGTCGCCTTTCTAAATTCTACCAACGATGTGCAAGATTTTATGGATCGCAGCCGATTGTAGAAGCCAAAGACCTAGACTTAACCGGTTCGTACGATTTATAAGTCTTTTTTTTTTTTTACAGATATATAGGTAACCGAATCTCTACGCTCATGCTTTGGGTATAAAATGTCAATGAAACCATTAAATTAAAAGTCACCATATAGATGCATGAATAGTTCTTTTTAATTCTTGTAAAAAAAAATAAAAGTTAGAAATTATTCTTTTAAAAGTTGTATAATGTATTATGAAGGATAGAAATCCTCTAATGTAATTGCATCATGTACATTTATAAATATCCAGAATATCATAAATAATCTATATGTATCTAACACTAGAGATACAAAGCATTAAGGTGTTACGATTAGTGCGATGGTGTCACTCGTGAGTAGAGGTGAAGATGGGTCAAGCTACTCATGAGTAGCTCGGGCTCAATTGATGATTACTTGAGATTGGCTCATTGACTCACACTCAAGCTAGAGCTTCTCCAGAATCTTCTCGAGTCAAGCTCAAGCCCAAGCTTCAAATTGTGCTAAAGAGGCTCGCGAGCCTAATTGAGTTTGACGCAGCTATATATATTCTCAAAATTACGTAATACACTCACATTATTAAAGCATTTTTAAGATCGAGCCTTCAAAAATGATTAGTCTTCGCTAGTAGCATTAGCGGGGGGTGTTGGTACTAGCAGAAATGGCGACACCGTGGGCGGCGGTGGCGGGGGGATCACTCGTCAATGGCGGTGGCGCAGAGGCTGTTTCAGGCTGTGCGGTGGAAGGAATCGTCGTCACTCGTTGGGGGGTAGATAAGGTCAGAAGTCACTCAGAACTGAAGAAGGAGAAAATAGAAAAAGCGGGTCTAAATCCCTTCATGGTTACGTGTTAGCTTTAAATTGCATGTAGAGCGTAGAGAATGGAATATCAAATAGCATCCCTAGCATTCCCTTGAAAGTTAGGAACTTAGGATCCGTCGTACACTTGATTTTGAAAGGAGAAAGATATTTTCTTTGTGATGACAGTCGTGAAATCTCGAAATTAACCATTTTACAAAAAAGACGATAACATGGTTAAAAAAGATTGGAAGGACGGCATAACCTTTTGGGTAGACGGCGCCAAAAGACCAAACGAAACCAATTGAAAGCGACATTGTCTAGATTGGGTTTTTGGAAATATTTGTCAATTTTACACGTCGATTGATCGCGAAAGCTTTGTATAATAGTCCCTCTATTAGCGTGTACAAGAGAGATACGGGAATATATAGGCTTGGCTACTAAATGAGTCTTGGCTATAGAGGGGCTAGGTGTATGATTCGACAAGACAATCTTGCATGATTCATGGAAATATATGAGACGCTATGTAAATTATTAGATAATTTATCTAATAGAAGGAATGCATGCAGCTAATAAAAATGAAATATGCATGCAAATTGTCACCGCCTTGGTTTTCTTCTTTTTCGGTGGAAGAGGAAAAATCCCAAGGTCGTTTAGGCAGCGTTTAGCGACTTGCCAAATAGTGACTGATTCTATTCTTTTGTCCTCAAAATCAATTTTGGAACAGAAATCCGTTTGATAAGTTTTTTGTTCCCGGGCACAAATTTACAAAAATTTGTTCCTAGAATCAGTTTTGAAACAGAATCAAGAAGCAAAAAAAAGTTGTTTCTTAATTCTGAGAATAAGAATCAGAAATGGAAAAGAAATTTTTTTTTTCTTCTTCTTGGTTTTCTTCTTCTTCTTCTTCTTGGCCTGTGGCCGGTCACCGATTTTTCTTCTTCTTGGTTTTCTTCTTATTCTTCTTCCTATAGGCCAAGGACGGCGAGGGCGGCGGTGAGGGCCACGACCCCGTCACCGGCCCTGGCCTGTGGCCGGTCGCCAATGCCGGCGACCGAGCCATGGCCTAGGAACATGAAGGGGAAGAAAAAAAAGAAAAAAAAAGAAAGAAATATTAAAAATTTCAAAATATTATTAATAAAAAGAAAATTTGTATAGTTACAAAACGCATTTCTGTTCTTTTTCTATTCCAATAATAGAAATTTTGGGCAGTTATCAAACGCCTTCAAATGTTTAGAAATTGTTCCCTGGCACGAAATCAAAAGAATGATTTCTAAGCAGAATCGGATTCCGAGAACAGAATAGTTGCCAAACGCACCCTCAGTGATATGTTTCTTTTGTGCACGAACAACTTCACCGCCTCTTATCGGCCGTTTGATGCGAGTGTTTCAATACTGGCCGTCTGATTAATACGCATTGTTGACCCGTATGGCGAAACCTCGGGTTGACTTTGGGCTCGAGTTTACTAGAATCTGGAAAGCCGAACCGTATTACGCAAGAGTCGCTTTGCATAATTGGACTTTGGAAATGCTATCTTTGGCTCAAGGGCCTTTACATGCCAAAAGTTCTTCGGAAAAGCCGAACTGAACGCATTGAAATTTTGATTAGACACTCGTAAAACTCAATTTACCCGATTGAAAGGAAAATACATGCAAAAATGACGGATCATACTTATACAAAAATAAGGATTCTAAATCAAGACAATATCTTTCACATTTAGGTGATTATTTGCAAAACGCAAGTGACCACACACAACTTAGGAAAAGTGCCAAAAAAGTCCTAAACCTTTTGCATTAGTGCCAATTTAGTCCTAAACCTTTTGCATTGGTGCCAATTTAGTCCTAAACCTTTTTTTGGTGCCAATTAAGTCCTAAACCTTTTAAATTGGTGCTAATTCAGTCCTAAACCTTTTATTTTTGTGCCAATTTAGTCATTCCAGTCAATTTTAACTGGAATTTGCCGACGTGGACCCCTGCCGGCCGGTCACTGGCGCCGATGTGGATAATTTTAATAATATTTTAATATTTTTTTGAATTTTTATTTTTATTTTTTCCTTTTATTTTTCTTTTTTTTCCACTTTTTTTTTGGTTCTCTCCCTCCTTCCTCTAGCCGGTCGCCAATCCGGCAACCGGCCAAAGGCCAGAGGCCGGCTCGGGCGAGCCTCGCCTTGGTCGGGCGAGCCTCGCCTTGGTCGGGCGAGCCTCGCCTTGGTCGGGCGAGCCTCGCCTTGGTCGGGTGAGGCTCGCCCTCGCCGGAGGCCGCGGCGAGGGCGAGCCTCGCCATGGGCGGTGAGGCCCGACCTCGCCGGATCCGGCGAGGTCGGGCCTCGCCCGACCAAGGCAAGGCTCGAGCCCTCGCCGGAGGCCGCGGCGAGGCAAGCCTCCCATGGTCGGGCGAGGCCCGACCTCGCGATCCGGCGAGGTCGGGCCTCGCCCGACAGGCAAGGCTCGAGCCCTCGTCGGAGGCCGTGGCGAGGGCGAGCCTCGCCTCGCCCGACCTCGCTGGATCTGGCGAGGTCGAGCGTCGACCTCGCCATATCCGGCGAGGTCGGGCCTGGCCCGACCAAGGTCGACGTCTCTAGATCTGGCGAGGTCGGGCCTCGCCCGACCATGGCGAGGCTCGCCCTCGCCGCGGCCTCCGGCGAGGGTCGAGGCTCGCTCGCCAGTGGCCGTCAAGGTCGAGCTCGCCGGCCTCTGGTTGGTCGCCGGACCGGCAACCGGCCAGAGGAAGGAGGGAGAGAAAAAAAAAGTGGGAGTGAAAAAAAAAAGGAAAAAAATAAAAATTCAAAAAAATATTAAAATATTATTAAAGTTGTCCACGTCGGCTGACTGCCGCCAGCTGCCTACCAGCGAGGCTCACGTCGGCAAATTCTGGTCAAAATTGATCGGAAGGACTAAATTGGCACAAAAACAAAAAAGTTTAGAACTAAATTGGCACCAATTTAAAAGGTTTAGGACTTAATTGGCACAAAAAAAAGGTTTAGGATTAAATTGACACCAATCAAAAGGTTTAGGACTGAATTAGCATCAAAAAAATGTTTAGGATTAAATTGGCGCTAATGCAAAAGGTTTAGGACTTTTTTGGCACTTTTCCCCCGCAACTTATTAATTGTCACGCATGACGCCATCAACCAAACGACAACGCCATGTACTTCTTTGCGGCTATCGTTCTCCCTGGCCACAGTTAAAAAATCTAAGACGGTCAGTCAAACACGAAGCTGCTCGACTCGACTTGGCCTTTCCTCGACCAAACCCTCGAAAAAAGCCTCACGACAACATGCATCCACTCGCGCAGATCAAACACAACCCGATGAGCATCGAACCTACGCACTTACTCCACCAAACGGTCCCCTACAGCATCAACCCTCAAAGGAGAACGACCGATAAGTCCAATACCATAAGCTCTCCCCTCTCATCTACTGCTATATATTTCATCTACTCCTCTAACACTCTCTCATCACCATCAACTTCAAACTCTCTCTCCCTCTCTTGCCCTCTCTCTCGCCAAGACACTCGTCTCGAGCTCGGTGACAACGTTATGGGGTCGGAGGTGCTCGTCCACGTCCTCCTGGTCTCGTTCCCCGGCCAGGGCCACGTCAACCCGCTCCTGAGGCTCGGCAAGCGCCTCGCCTCCAAGGGCCTGCTCGTCACCTTCACGACCCCGGAGAGCATCGGGAAGGCGATGCGCAAGGCGAGCAACATCGGCGAGGAGCTGTCCCCGGTTGGGGATGGCTTCATCCGGTTTGAGTTCTTCGAGGACGGGTGGGACGAGGACGAGCCGCGGCGCCAGGACCTCGACCAGTACCTCCCCCAGCTCGAGAAGGTCGGGAAGGTCCTCATCCCGGAGATGATCCGGCGCAACGGCGAGCAGGGCCGCCCGGTGTCGTGCCTCATCAACAACCCCTTCATCCCCTGGGTGTCTGACGTCGCCGACAGCCTCGGCCTCCCCTCAGCGATGCTCTGGGTCCAGTCGTGCGCGTGCTTCACCGCGTACTACCACTACTACCACGGCCTGGTCCCGTTCCCGTCTGAGACGGCGATGGAGATCGATGTGCAACTCCCAAGCATCCCGCTCCTGAAGCACGACGAGGTGCCGAGCTTCTTGTACCCGACGACCCCGTACCCTTTCCTCCGGAGGGCGATCATGGGGCAGTACAAGAACTTGGACAAGCCATTCTGCATCCTGATGGACACTTTCCAGGAGCTCGAACATGAGATCATCGAGTACATGTCCAAGATCTGCCCCATCAAGGCGGTAGGGCCGCTCTTCAAGAACCCTAAGGCCCCAAACGCCACTGTCAAGGGCGATTTCATGAAGGCCGACGACTGCCTCGGCTGGCTCGACTCAAAGCCTGCTTCCTCGGTCGTTTACGTGTCGTTTGGCAGCGTCGTGTACTTGAAGCAAGACCAGTGGGATGAGATTGCCTATGGGCTGTTGAACTCCGGTGTCAACTTCTTGTGGGTCATGAAACCTCCACACAAGGACTCTGGCTATGAGCTGCTCACGTTGCCTGAAGGGTTCCTGGAGAAGGTCGGTGATAAGGGCATGGTGGTGCAGTGGAGCCCACAAGAGAAAGTCTTGGCTCACCCCTCGGTGGCCTGCTTCGTGACGCACTGCGGCTGGAACTCATCCATGGAGGCTTTAACCTCCGGCATGCCCGTGGTGGCGTTCCCGCAGTGGGGCGACCAGGTCACAGACGCCAAGTACCTCGTCGACGTGTTCAAGGTCGGGGTAAGGATGTGCCGGGGTGAGGCGGAGAACAAGCTGATCACCCGGGACATGGTCGAGCAGTGCCTCCTCGAGGCGACCTTGGGGCCCAAGGCCGAGGAGATGAAGCGGAACGCGATGAAGTGGAACGCGGCGGCGGAGGCAGCCGTGGCGGAGGGCGGGTCCTCGGACCGCAACATCCAGGCCTTCGTCGACGAGGTGAAGAGGAGGAGCCTGGAGGTGCTGGCAGCGAGCGGCAAGCCGACGGCCATCGGAGGGGTGGACTTGGCACCCAAGGCGGCGGCCAACGGGGCGGCGGAGCTGCGGGAGCCAAAGGTCAACGGGGAGGTGAAGGTGATGGTGTCGTGAGGAGGAGGTGAGAAATTCAGGTGTGTCCTCGTTTTGGAGTGTAGATGGTAAGGTGTAAGCTAATGAATTGGCTATGGCGTGAGAATAATTTGGGTTTGACCAAGATGGGGTTTGTGCTTTGTAACTTTTAATTTAAATTTTCACTTTTTTATAAATTGCTTTTCGTTAAGCTATATAAATATAATATATGAACTGAGGGTCCGTCATGGGATCCTGTGCTTCTGTTGGTTTCCTCACAGAGTATTAAGCGTATCTCTTGCAGTATTTTTTATCCGACTATAAATGATTAAACGTGCCACACACCGACATTTAAGTATTAGTTGCTTTCTTAAATACGGACAAAACTTAGGTAAAGCTTGGACCCACGTGACCGTGTGCTAAGAAGCATGCTAAGATCCATGCTCATCGTATACTCGAGAGCGTATGATCTCCACTGATCGTTTTCTACCTTGTGCCTAAATTATATCCGGGGCATTCCGAATAATTTTTGATCTTATCGATTCGAATAGATTATCTCGTCGAGAAGAGAGAAAAGTAAGAGAGAGAGAGAGAGAGTACGAAAAGAATTGATTTGGATATATGTGTCTATATATGGGATCCATCACATAAAGTTAAAGAGATTTTGAAATCGATAGATCATCGACATGACAATTCTTACGCGCACGTAATCCACTCGATCCAAATCTTATCGTGCCTATAACGATTCACGACCTCTCGAATCGAGCAATCTGCACACGTTAATTAGCACGCATCGCATGTCCACCGCGATTCACATAGATGTCACGAGCAATTCGGTCCCACATCGATGGATGTCAAGTTACATGTTATTTGCCCTAATGTCCATTTTCCACATTATTCACTTGACGTCATTAAATTCGAAATCTAAGGTTCATTTAAACGAAGAGGATGCCCTTCCCGTGGGCAGGAATTCCACGTGTCGGTCGTCCAGGAAGAAGGGGGGGGACCCACGTGCCTAGCCAACGGTCGGTCGCTGCTCGCCTCGACATATCTAACCGCTCCTAGAAAGCAGTTCGTGCACCAAACCCACCGGTAGATGTCCATGGGGCTGATCACCAGTTTCTATTCTTTTATTTCTTTTTTTCTTTTTCATTCATTCTTCTTCTTTATTTATTTATGTATTTATTAATTCATTTATTTATTTTCTGACCAAAAAAATTCATTCATTTGTTTTTCTTAATGGTTGCAAGGCCAGTTATTTTATTTATTTAGTGCTTTTTTCTTTTGTAAGAGAAAGCTCATGTTAAGTAAGTAAATCTCCAACCCGGATGTGATCGCGGAGTACCCAATTGATTTCGCGGGTCGGGTCAAAATGCAAGTTCGAAAGGCCTAGCGAGCGGTCCAAACACGAAATTGTTTTAGTTAATGGATGCTTTGGTTCTATAAAAGTGTAGACACCACACACTACACCAAACAAAATTCATGTGAGCCCATGATTTTAATAGATCCCACGTGATTTAAGGACTGAGATGTTGACTGAGATGTACTGAACTCGCGTGCACTTGATGCACCAAAGAATATCTCCTTACATGAACCTTGTTCAATTAGACTTGATCGTGTCCAAAAGGCAAACCCCTTCATCTCCGAGGCAAATCCTTTCATCTCTCAAAAACTCTTTCATCTTTCTAAACTCTCCTGTAGGCTCTCAGCTTCAATTTCTGAAGCCGAGAGCCTACTTCACCTTTGATTTTCTTTTTCTTTGCTTTGATTGTCTTTTCTTTTCTCCCGCTCTGTTTTGGAAGATTGCGTGTGAATAAATTTCTATAGCAGATCTTGGATGAATATGGGGTCCAGTTTGGCCATTTGTCTAGTCGATAACTTTCAGGGAAGATCTCCGTGACGTGGCTCCACAACCTCTCTAAGATAAGACCGCTCTTCTCTCCCGATTTATATTTAGGCTTAGATTTGAGAGTTCCTTACAGGTATTTGATCTGTGTTCTTTCAACATATTAATGTTGGTATATCTGCACGGCGATGGTGATGAAGACGTTGAACCTAAACGCGTACCGCAAGCCGTTGCTGATGGAGTGGGGGATCTCAATGTGTGCTCATCAATGAATCTGGTGATCGGCCGTAAGACGTTTATAGTAGTAGGTTTGTTCTTGAGGGATGAGAGTGTGCTTTTATCTGCAGACCGTGCTTTATACTTTGTTATATGGGTTCTAGTATTTGCTTTATTCCGCAATTGTTTAGAATTTGCCAGGTTTGTATGCCTTCTACGTACCTCTCGAATATTATTTTGATGAATGGAATCTTTCTTTTTTAAAAAAAAAAAACTAGACTTGATCAATATAAATGTTGATGTAGGTGGGCACTATCAGTGGGTTCCCCAATATCAATGACTATGATTGGATCCGATGCATGGGTGTCGGCTATAGCATGAATTTTCCCCAAGTTTAAATGAGAATTGTACATCTTACATTATTGTGTTAGAGTATCACATATCGCTTGTGTAATAGGGTTTTAATGAGAAAATTATCCAAAAAGTTCTAAATCTAAGTGTGCAATGGTCAATTCAATCATAAACCTTTTAATTATGCCAATTTAGTCCTAAACATTTTGATAATTCGTCAATACAGTCCTAAACCTAATAATTATGCCAATTTAATCCTAAATATTTTGACAATAAGTCAATTTAGTCCTAAATATTTTAACGATTTGCCAATGTAGTTCTTTCGACTAATTTTGAGCGGAAATAGCTAACGTGGTAGCCCAGTCAATGCCCACGTCTTACATGGCTTGGTCAGCGCTGACGTGAATAATTTTTAAAATTTTTTTGAATGTTTTATTGATTATTTTTATATTCTTTTAATTTTCCTTCTTTCTTTTTAATTTATTTTTGCCATTGGTTGAGCCCCCCCTTTGGGCGAAGGCTACGACACCCTCGCTATGGCCATGAGGATCTGAGTAAGAGTTTGCAACCCCCTTGCCAGATCTAGCGATGTGAGGGTGTCGTGACCCTCGCCGGCCACTGTGAGGGAAGGCAAGGGCCACGAGTGGCTAGTGAGGGTCGCGATGCCTTTGGGCAAATCCGACAGTGTTCGTGATCCTCGCCTGCAGCTGGCAAGGGATTCGTGGCCCTCACATAGAGGCTAGCAAGGTTCGATGATTCCTGGCTCCCGTTGGTCATATGTAAAAAGAAAGGGGAAAAAAGAAAGTAGAGGAAGGAAAAAGAAAAGAAAAGGAAAAAAAGAACAAAAAGAAAAAAATCAAAAAATTTTAAAATATTTACAAAAATTGTCCATGTCGGCATTGTGTGCCACCTAAAACGTCCGACGCTGATTGGACTGCCAAATCAGCGATTTCTGGTCAAAATTGACCGAAATGACTATATTGCAATTCGTTAAAAGGTTTATAATTAAATTGGTAAATTGTCAAAAAGTTTAGAAATAACTTGGCACAATTGAAATGTTTAGGATTGAATTAATCGCCGTGCAATAGATTTAGGACTTTTTGAATAATTTTCCCAAACAAGCTTATACTTATACGGTACTCTTTCACTTATCAATTTAAGATTTTGACCAAAAAAAAATTTAAGATTTCGGTCACTGGAAGTGAGAATAGTACATTTATCAGTTTGAACAAATCTGTAGAGAAATTCTTAGTCATTTGAAATCTACCTAACTTTTATTGATTAATAATTGGATAATTCGTGCTTTTATGTCTTCTATCATTGTGATGACATATAACAGAACTATGTTTCACCGATGGATATGGGAGTTCCATTAGTTAATGCGAAGAAAACTTTCAAAAGTAAATGCAGGGTCAGAACGAACAATGCAAACGAGTACAATTTTTGTCTGAAAATTATAATTGGAAAAAATAAACATGATAAAAAAAGTTTGTAGTTGGTTTATTTAGGAAAATAAATTTAAACTTTGGTAAAGTAAAGAGGATAACTTATGAAACAAGATAATAAATATTTAAATATAAATTTGAAAAGTGGTAGACATTTAATTGAAGGAATTATGATTAAAGTTTCAGATATTTGATCTACTTTTGAATTATCATTGTCCCCTCCCCACTTTTAATGGTGCACTATTATGATTTTCTTAGTATATGGGCTTTTTTTGTGGAACCTGTTGGTCAAACTTTGAAGTTGAAAGTTTACACTATTCTTTAATTTGCTCTGTTATTTAATAATAATCCAGAAAAAAAGGGGAAACAACAAGAAAATAAAAGGCCAAGTTCAAAGGAAAGTTTGACCACATCAGTATAGTCAATGGGAGGCTAATTGCATCCCAGCTTAATTCCCTTGGAATATTACTTCTACAGAAGGGTGAGTAAACGATGTCGTAACATACAGAACATACAATATACAACATTATATGTATATACGTATTATATATGTGAACCACAACTTCATTCTCTCATCTTGCCCAAGCTAATCACTTCAAGAACTGGAAGACTTCTTGCCGAGAGACCTGAAGAACCCCATCATAGGGTCATAAACATCTTCCTTGGCAATCAGACTGAGAAGGAAGTCTGTGTGAGCATTGTTCTCCAGGTAAAGCATCTCCGGCCCAGACTGAATTTCGTCGATGGAGCGCTGCGCATCGGCCAAGTCCGCTAACGTGTCGCTGCTCACGTGACTGATCCATAGCGGCAGTGTCTTGGGTATGTTGGTCATGTTGTATATCGGGGCCTTCGACTGGCCATATGTTTCCTTCGTTTTTTTCGATGTCCCGTAGTTGTACATGGAGAACATACCCTTGCGGATATCTGTCAGCAGCGGAGAGCACATGAGGAAAATCATCTGAACTCAGTAAATAGGCGGGTATACATTCGAAAGCGCTTCAAAAACATACGTATCTATATATTGACCTTGCAAACGATAAACATTTCGATGTAGTTTGTGGCATACTAAATGAACAATTAGATTTTTCCATTAGCTAATGGAAAGGCAACTTTAGAGCACTTACCAGGATACAAATTGCATCGGCAGTTATTTTTCTCCAGCAACAACTTGAATAGGACACAAGATCCATTGTATTATAGTCATTGAACATGACACGAAGAACTGGAGCGGCTCCACAAAAGATCAACAGTGTAAGGAACCTACTTCGAAAATAATGCTGCAGACTCTTCAAGGAGGACGGATGAGGTTCACGTTGGAGATAAAAATCCACGCGCGAGTTATTGAGCAACAATTCTTCCTTGCAATGTAATTGTGAAAATATATCTCAGCTGTTCCCAAAGTCGAAATCTAAATATTCTCGA